ATTCCATACTGTAGTTACGCTATAGATCAACGTCTCCTGTTACAATGACCGTTGTCTTTCAGGCTCTTTGGTAATTACCATGACACTTCCATCTTTTCTTAACTCATTAGCAGAAACAGGCAAAACCCAAAGTAAGAAAGAAATTTCAGTTTCAATTGACCTTGATATCCCACACCACAACTGGGGCTAACTGGCACAGAAATAATGGGCTGTTCAAGGTCCTCAGAAAACCTTTAGTACTGATTTTCTTTAGTACAAAAAGGTCAGTGATAGAAACAATGTAAAAGTTACAAGAGGGAATTCCTGAGTGCAATTAGTGAAGAATTCTGAATGCAAATGTCATACTGGTGGCAAGACTGGTTGTTTATGTGAAGCATATCTAATCTGCGAGTACTGTATTGTGAGTAGTGTAGTATTGTGACAGGAGTGGGAGAGTCAGGGCAGGAAAACGATGTAACTGGAATGTGGTATCTCTAAGATGAATGATACACTTGCTTCATTCTGGTTATTTGCTGTTTGTAATGGTCAATCCTTTCCAGATCACATATTTAATTTCAACATCTCATTAAAATCATCTTTCTGTTGTCTAAAGCTTCATATGTTTTTCATGGTTGTTTTTAAAGCAAATGTCATAATATTGTTTAATATTTGGACTTGAAAGAAATACCATAAAAATTTAAATTATAGTGAAATTGGGGAAATAAAAAAGTATTATTTTGTATTCAGACTATTTTTTGTGCTGTTTTAGAAGTAAGTTGGTGGTAGATTGTAAGGTATAGGTATATTTGCTGTACTAGGAGGTAGGTTCATTCATGTAGTTGGTGGCATTCTTTTGGCACTTTGACTGAAAACACTGACAAGAATTTTGTCGTAAATTAGCAACACAATGAATTGTTAGCAAAAAACGTACATGCTGTTATGTATACAGCTTATAGAGGTACTGTAGGAGGCGGGACTAGAATATACAAGGATTAGGGATTAAGTGATGAGGTACTTTCCTTGCCTTGAAGGTGTTTAAAATATAGTATAAAATACATTTTTAAAACTTTGCACAGCGTTGTTGTGTTATTGACACTGTTTACTGTGTCAGATGAATTTATAGTTCATTTCTCTGTACTGGGATGTATTTTATTGTTTTACTTTTCAGAAAAAATTCAAAAAATGAAACATGATAATGACTTCCTACCAAACTTAATCGAATCTGATTTACAGAAAGAGATCTGTATACAAATTAAGGGCGATGACTTTATGTGAAGTATTACTATATAAGGAAGATAACTTTTAAGAGACATTACTCTACACAAACTATATTTTCAAGGGAGATAACTTGGTAGAATGTGCAAGATGAAACATATTTATGATTCAGTTTAGAGCTGTGGTTATTAGTCACTTACAGGCAAGTTTTCTGTTTGTTTACATCACATAGAAATAGGCATACGCAGAATCCTTGTTGGTGAAAAAGAATTACTTATTTTTCACAAGGTGAAATTGTTGACACCTACGTCAGAGAGGGCCCATGTGATGCTGAATCCAAATATATACAGTCACCGAAGGCCCTGGTGGTGTATTATGACCACGTCTTGCGTCATCCAGTGCTAACATACATATTAATGCTCTGTTTGTATATCACTAATTACTGCCCACCTAATTAATAACAATATGAGTCTCCTTGTGCTTCAATTTTAGGTTGAATATGACGTACACAAATAAAAAATACATGACCTTGTCTAGATTTGACATTACAGTCCTATCCTTTAATGATACTGAATGTGTCACATTGTTGGCCTTTAGTAATGTTGAATGTGACCTCAGTGACTAGTAACTTTGATATCAGTATGTCTATCAGCTGGGACATTTAATAAAATCCATCTCTCTGTGTCAATAATTAATTCTGCATATATCATTATTTGTGATTTGATGTTGTACCGCGTCACCAGGACATGCTTGGCTGGGCACAGATTACACACAGGTCTGACTGTAGGTTCAGACAGTACATACGCGGAGGCAAATAACATACTTAATTCATGTAGCAGCCTTGAAGTTCTTGTTCTTCGAACTTTACAACAACACTGTGATCTTTTCACTCCTGTAGCTGTGTTACCAAGTTCAAATTCACCTTTATAACTTATCTGATACATTTATGAATACCAAAAGGGTTCACACTCCCTGTCTGTATCAGTTCTGGAGTTAACATTCTTCTTGTTCCTCTTCGATGGAATTTAAAACCTTTTTCTAATTATTTTGTACAAATTGAGTAAAGAACTGAAATTTTTGTAACTCAGATATTAATTAATTGTATAGATAATGTTTCCTTCCCAATTATAATGATATACTGCACTGATTCTACTTCTGTTAAAAAAAGTAAGAAATTCTACAAAATGGTGATACAGATAATAGACAGGATCAATATTATGTAAACAGTACATTTAATAACTAGAATATTTGTTATTTCTCTTACTTTTATACAAAGAGTCCAGAATGGCCGAAAACCTTTATGATATTGTAATTTTGTGTTTCATCCGTCTTGTCCACCATGAATAAACTTCTACCTATGAGATTTAACCAAAATATGATTCTATGGTTACTTTTTGGGTCAGTCTGAAATCCAAGATGGCCATAATTGGTGCCATTTTTTAGCTGAAACCTGTTTAGGTAGAGATGCTGATAAACTGGTGTTCTATCTTCCATTTAAATCAAATTTAGAATTAGACATAGTTAAGTCAAACAACTTATTACACTCTTTCATACAACTGTTTCGTCCTTCAAGGACTCGTCAGTGATGCTAAGGGCCTTAATTTTGAGACCTACAAGGTGAGAGAGAAAAGTAAAAATTAATCGAAGGAAATATCAAAATCTAGATGTTGATCAAAAACCCCATGGCTCAGTGTTAGTAATTTACTTACATCTGTTCATTTTTTGAAAATGTCAAGCGTAAATGTGTAGTCTGTCACAATGCGGGATTCTTTTTGTCTTCTTGCTTTGCTTTGACATGTGTTACACTGGAGATTCAGTCCATACAGTGTTTCATCTCTGTTACAACATTACAGGTATTACAGAAAGCTGTCGCCCCCAACACTAAGTAAGGATGAATTGGTCAGTGACATAAGTAATGGTCCTATTACCTTCCCACCTGCCCTGGTAACATTTCCTAGTAACAGTTGTTATACCTATTTGTAGCCACATTATAGAGTTAACAGGCTGAGAACAATTTCATTAGAGCTTGCATTACCGTCAACATCACACGCAAAAGATTGATTTTTATTGTTGTGTAGTAGACGGACTTTTTTCTGAATTTTCCTGAATTATAAAATGAATATTTTTAAGATGTGTATTTAATTAATGTTACTGTGACTGTACTGTGTTGGTGTGGGTGTCATAAATTACATTAAAATACTTAAGTGTTTAATATATAGAGAGTTCAAATACCACAGGGCAATGTCAGCCCCTTAATTCTAAATACCACAGGGCTATGTCAGTCCTTCAATTCTAGATACCACAGGGCTACATCAGCCCCCTCAACTCTAGGTACCTCAAGGCTATGCCAGCCTTTCCTCCCTTCTTCCTAAATGTCAGGGCTACATCAGCACCTCAATTCTACGTACTCCAGGGCTATGACAGCCCCTCTCTCCTAAATATATCTGGGCTATGTTAAGGCCCCTCCTCCTAAATACCTCAGGGCTTCATCGACCCCAATACAGCACTATAAACCATGAAAGTTACATGTCCGTGTTGTAATGAGAATGAGTGCTTTGTTTTTATGTAGGTGTAGGTAGAAAGGACAGGATCTAACGACTGGTTATGTGATGTACTTGGATATAAATGTACCTTTCTTATCTCATGTTTTCTTTGTAGGATTGATTGGGTTGCTTTGAGCTTTTTAATACAAAAATTTTTTTAATATAAAGCTGAATTTGTTAACAAAAACAAAATAATACACAATTCTTTGGAGAAAAAATTTAGAATTTTGTTTTTAAAAGAGATAATTATCACAATAAACAGGAAACATCCTCAAAATGAACGTTCAGTTGATTTTTTCCCTGTTTTTCTACACTAAGTCATATGAAAAGGAATGTTTTGTAGGAGTATGATGTATGATGTGGGAGGGAATCCTGATGTGAATCAGAGATGAGTAAGAAAGCGATTACTGCTGAAAGTGTAGGGGAAGATTAACAAATAACAAATCTCCTACAAGTTGGTCACCACCATAGGATTGGTTTGGTTTCAAAAATCTAAACCTGACTGGAGTTAGATCTATTGCAGTTATGTTGGTGTAAACACATTAAGATATATGTATGAATAAGTCATACCAATTTGTATATAATTTGTATAAATTTGTCAAAAAAGCGATAACGTTAGTATGACTTTCACCCACAGACTGGTGAATTTTCACCCACAGACTGGAGAATTTTCACCCACAGACTGGTGATTCTTGACTGAATTACTATCTATACATAATTTTGACCTGATTATGAAAATAGTCATGAGGTCACAGAGAATATGATATGTCAGGAATCTTAACTGTAAATCCATACTGTTAAACCTGTCTATAAAGGCCACTCAGAAGAACATAGAAAAGTGGCCTTTATACAGAGGTTCAATTACTATGAATTGTATTAATAGGGAACTAAAAAGCAACCTTAATAGAAAGGTGAAATTTGTATAAAGGTGGGCTTTCAGACAGGTTTGACAGCATACTACATCCATCTGAGTTAATAACATAAATGAGATATTTGTCAAAACTACAGATAATAAAAGTATGTTAGGAACAGATTTAACATTTTCTGAAGATATTACAATTGTATTGGTTCACAATGTTAAAAATTTTGGTTTCATAAAGATGTATTTGAGGCGTACAACTTGTGAGGAAAATGAAATGTTTGCCAACTCTTTATTGAAGTTTTTATTCTTGACCGATTTATTATGTCGTGAGTGGTTGTAACAACTTCAGGAAGCAATTAAAATGATTCTTAAATTTTGTGTTTCCCATTGTATCGTTTCAGGCTGAAAATCTGCTGTTAGATGCCAATATGAATATAAAAATAGCCGACTTTGGCTTTGGTAATTACTTCAAGACGGGTGAACACCTGGCCACGTGGTGTGGGAGTCCTCCTTATGCTGCTCCAGAGGTGTTTGAAGGAAAGAAATACTTGGGTCCCCAGATTGATATATGGGTGGGTACCTTATAAAATCATTCTCTACATCCTCCTTCAATCATAGCCAGGGAATAATATTCTGATTTGAAATTACCTTTTTTTCAACCTTATACAAATATATACATACCATGTGACCTCAGTAGTCTTTGCTACAATTTTGATTGTTTTCTTTGCTGACATAAAGATGTTTTTACGGCCCCTGACATTCCCTGTGAAGGGGAAGGGAAGGAAGGGGACATTGAGTGTTACCCTTGTTCCTCTGTTCAATTCTCCAACATTATATCTGGAGGACCTTTCAATAATCTGATTCCTACTTATACCATATCATCATAACATCAAGTTGTACATGTGATCAGATTCTGGTTTGTATAGGAGAGGGAGTATCATAGACATTTTCTACTTGAATTTAAATACATGTTATATGGTATAAAATGAAGATTTTGTAAACATATATATTTTTGTTTCAGAGTCTGGGTGTAGTTCTGTACGTGTTAGTATGTGGTGCACTACCATTTGACGGCCATAATCTACAGATGTTGCGGGATCGTGTCTTGTCGGGCCGGTTCCGAATTCCCTTCTTTATGTCAACAGGTATGTGCCATGGTATAAACATTTTTATTGCCGTTTGCCCTGCCCATGTAAGGGACATAACTCTGGTTTGTTTTGTAGTGGGACATTTTCAGATATATCATTTGCTTAACTTTGTCAAGTTACTAATTTTATAGACTATATCAACTAAAATGTAATAGATATTAAAGAAAATCTTATCACAACTTCCCTGCTGTTTTCAGAATGTGAAAATCTCATTCGCCGTATGTTGGTGCTTGATCCTTCCAAGCGCTTGACCATTGGTCAGATCAAGAAGCACAAATGGATGACCTCTGATGGCGGCCCACCTAAGCTGCAGTCACCTCCTAGTCCAATTATTGGGTATAATGCGAAGATTGGCGAGTTTAACGAGCAGATTTTACGCCTAATGCATAGTCTTGGAATTGACCAACACAAAACTATGGAGGTAGGGATTTCTTCAGAGTGGGCAATTTGTATATGAAAAAAAGGTATACTGTAAATGTAGATATCTTAAGGTTGTCTTATTTTAGTGTTTGTCACCCTGTTTGTGACTGTATGTTATAAAGCAATTTATGTGATTAATTATGAATAATCAAATTCTGCATCACTCTAATGAACCAAGAATCGATTATTTGCTATGCTTTGACCACACCAATAACATTTACAGTTTTGTCCAAGTTTGCTGAAAATTTCCTTCATTTCTGACATAAGAAAGAAACAAAGAACTAGAAATAAGTTGATAAAACCATGGGAAAACTTCATGTTCTGTAAGTTTTTGATTTGAGTAAGTTGGAATACAACAAAATATTTGATATAAAAGTAAAGAGTTTGTCACTATGATATTGCACAACATGATATATAAAATAGAACAGAGATGATAATTGTATGACAAATGACACTTTATTTTTATGGTTTCAGGCATTAAAGAGTGATGCATATGATCACTATACTGCCATATATTACCTCCTCTTGGAGCGCTTAAAACAGCACCGGAGCAGTTTCCCACCGGAAAATCGAATAGATCCTCGAAAGCGCAGACCAAGTACCATAGCGGAGCAGGCCATGCTTCACCACACACAGACTAGTCAATCAGATCACATGACTGGATGCATGCAACGTACACCACTAGTCAACGTCAAACAGGGCATGTTTAGTCATACAACAGACTGTACAAATCCACCCAATATAAACTTCTTAAATGATATTGATATTCCAACGCCCAGTGTTCCTGGATGTTTACAGGAAATTGTCTCCACAGGGGTTACGACAAAGACAGCTACTGCTACCCCGCGTTCCACACGCCTCATAACAACGTCTATAGATGAGGGTGTAGAGGTAGACATCATGGACTCACCTGATGATAATAGTGTGGCTAGTAAAGGCCAGTTTGTGCGCGACGGTTTTGGCATGGGACTCATACCGAGCTGTGCTTTTGGTGACTTGTCACAGTTGAACGCAAACGGTAATAGTAGTATAACCTCTATTAGCACAGGAATTGGCTCACCTTTTGCCAGTTTTGACTCTTCAATGGAGCCTGATTTTATGTCTAGTCTTTCCGAAGGTTCCCAGCAGTCAACAGGATCTGGGTCCCTATCTGGTGGCCCTAATTATGTCACCGGTAATCCTGATCCTGCTGCCATGGTCATGAATTCTGGTGCTATTGGTGACTCGTATCAGGAGAATACTGGCTCTGTTGAGGTATCAGGGTCCGAAGAGTACTCACAAGATCGCAATCAAACGCGTTCTCCTGTCAACTTCCGTGAGGGGCGGCGTGCTAGTGATGGATTAGTTGCACAAGGAATATTTGCATTTAGACAACGACTTCAAAATAGTATGCGAGCTGAGGGCATGATTGAGCTGCGGGAGGAGCACCAGCATCTGCAGCACATGTATAGTGGAATGCCCAGCAATGAGCAGGTGGTGGCTCTTCAGCAACAGCACTCGGAGTACCTGGAGAAAAACGGACGACAGTGGTCACTAGAGGACGGTCAACACGGCCAACCTCCCAGACCTTCAAGACCTTTGATGAAAAGGATGAGCTTGCCATCAGAGACATTCGATCTGCAGCCTCACAGGCTCCTTGCAATTAAACAAAGCATGCAAGTTGAGCGAGAGCTTGATCGTGTCACCAGTAGTGAGGAATTGACCCAGCAAGGGGTAGCACCTCCATTCTCTCAGCAATACGACTACTCGATGCAGAACAAACCGTTGCAGCAGCAATTCTTACAGCATCGACTGCAGCAGAAAAGGCAGACACTGCAGAAGCAGACTCCGCTTCAACATCAGTTCCAACAGATGCATATTGTCCCAGGTGACCAAGCCTCATTATCATCAGCCAATCAAATTCCTTACATTTGTAAACAGAGACATGCTAATAAACATGATGAGTTGAATCATCTTAGTCGACCGCCAGTGATTAGAAAGATCTCTTACAAGCTGGCACAACAGCAGCCGGTCATGCCTCCTATGTCTGATGGGGGTGACGCACCGTGGCAACAAAATATGCTGCCACCTACGCAAGAGAATGACGGCCAGGAAGAAAGTGTGCAGGAGCGTGTCCCAATGCAGAATGTGTCTGTTGTCATTCAGCAACTTCAGCAACAACAGCAGAGGACGGTGAGTGTACCGCCTCTGTACACGACACAGCTTCAACAACAGCAGCAGAATCAACAACAGAATCAACAGATGCTGGACTACCAGCAAAATCAGCAACAACAACAACTACAACAACAACAGAATCAACAAATTGAACAACAGCAGCAGTCCGTGTCACATCACTCACCAAGCCGCAAAAATGCATTCATACCCCAGGGAGGGGAACTAGCACTCCTTCAACAACAATATGCATTGGAAAAACAACTACAGCAACAACAACAACAACAACAGCAACAACAGCAGCAGCAACAGCTGCCTAGCTTCACCTTTACAGGGGTGCCATTGAATGATGAAGTTTTGGTTGCAGACATTAATAATTCTCATATTTCACTCAGCATCGATTCAAGTCAGCTGTCCCTTACACAGTTGCCCTCCACCTCTCCCCACTCCTCTACTGAGTCACTGAAACAGGGCTCATGGGACTCACAGCATCATAACGGAGTTATCTCCCCTCCTAGTCACACAACACAGGACACAGGTGTGGTCGTGTCGCCATATTATATGACCCCGCCTATGGTGACCGCCATCGATGAACAAATGGATGTGTCGTAGCCATTGTGGTGTATTGTATGAATGTGTGTGCGGTCATGTGTACGGCATGATATATGTGTACATATGTTTTCACACCGCTATGCGTGCATGTAATATGTAAGTTTGCGTTTCAATGTATGTATGTTTAACATGTAAGGATATGGATGTATGTGTAAGTTATTAGTGTACACACGTGTACTCATTGTACAAGTATAGCGTGTGCAGGGTCTGGATCTTTAATCTTCAAATTACTGAAAATCATGATAAGGAGTTTTTAATACTTAATTATAAATAGGCATCAAATGCCTTGTTATTGCAGTCAACTACATTTAGTATCCATTATATAAAAAAGGATTGGTGCAATTACTGTTTTACAACAGGAAGTCCTGTTCTGTTGGGGAACAGAGTGATTTTATTGTCATGGCTACTTTGTAGAAAACTGATCCAGACAATAAGAGTAAGTGTGTAAGTTATGAGTGTCTTGTTGTAACCCTACAGAGTAGAGACCCCGGGATCAAGTTGTTCTAGTGTTATGGTCGTTGAGTTCTTCTTTCTATAAGCCTTTTGACTTTAAAAAGGAATTTACAAGGGGTATATCTAAATCATTTTTAGGTTAAATTTGTCATTTTCAAGTTAAATGTCATTGTCCTAAATTTTGTGTGTACATCATACTTTATATCTTTCCCTCTTCATTATAAAGACTCTTGATATTTTCAATTGAAAAAAATTATACTATGCCATCTGTCTGTACGAGTTTACAGAATTCTTTAAATTTTTCCTGTTCTACATTAATATACATATATATATACTTACACAAATTGAATATGTTATTGTAGTGTTTTCTAAACATGGTGAATGAAATTTCCCCTCTGATTACATTCTATATATTAATTTTTACGATATTGTCACTATTGGTCGACCCTTCGGCCCAAACACAGAACAACTTGACTATCTGTTAGGTTTAATGACAAGAATGATAATATTTATGGTTTTACTAGCTTGCTGAATGTATTATTTAAATCGGTGTACGTTCTAGTGAAGTCTGATCATTAATGATCGGGTATATTTATCATAATCATGACTGTTATTGTAATTGTGATTGGCTATTTTTATCATCATGATTGGTTATTTATAGTTTCATAATTATGATTTGTTATTTTTCATAATCATGATTGGTGGTTATTTATAGAATCATAATCATGATTGATGGTTATTTATAGTATCTTTATCATGATTGATTATTTATAGTATCACAATCATGATTTGTTACTTTTCATAATCATGATTGGTGGCTATTTACAGTATCTTAAGCATGATTTGTCATTCTGGATGCTACAGTGCTGTTCCCTTTGCAAAATTAAACATTACATTGCTGTTGACGCTTCAGTTATTAGAGAAATGAATTCCATAATCTCTTCAATTATGTAAAAAAAGCATGATTTTAAGTGAAAAGTTCTTGTGTGTGAAATCTTAAAATAATTTGCCTTGACAAAGCAACTTTTTTTTTTTGCTTAAATTTAAAATAGTTTTTATTACTACTCAAAATAAATATGGAATGTTAAGCTTTGCAATTCAACTAATGACATCGAATTTTAAGAAATCCCTCGGTATAAGAAGCAAACTTTTCAACTGATAAAGTACTCCGATATTACGAGTACCAAGCATCTGTCCGTCCAACACTTGTGGAGTATACAGTGAATCTTGGCTTACCATGTCTATCTTACCAACTCATCGTCTACATCTGATGTTCTGGACCACAATACTTTACACACCACTCATGTTTTAATAGACAAGAAATTTGATTTTTCTAGATTTTCACACCTCAAAATGATTTTTTTTCCCCACTGCATATGTAACAAAGAATGTTATTATTCAAATTATACTTGGCATCAGAAGCTTCTTTGTTGTAAACATTACTTTATTTGCTTGTTTTAGGTAGGCATTCTAACAAATATTTATTTTCAAAACTATTCAACTGTACAGAATCTAGCTACAATTGTGGAGGTGTGTCTTTATAGTGTCAGTGGTTATTGTGCTTCCTGTTGTGGTGTAAGGATCACTAGGAAATCTGTGGTCACTTTAGGAACAAATATTATGTACTTTTGTCTATGACAATATGTAACATACATTTCATCATCAATTCCAGTGATTTTTTAGCATAACAAGAAAATTTGCCAAAGTTATCCATTTCAGGTTTCTCATTTTACATTGACTTCAAACATATTTCCATTTGTCAGTAACACAGAAGGTTTGCTTACCATTTCAATGTGTACTTAATCTTATGGTACGGTTTGTTTTTATGCTTTTTAATTAGCATATTAGCAAAATCATTGATAAAACTGCCTTTAGACTGCTTCAGGAAGATGCAAATTTCAATTTCTCAACAAATATGTAGAATGGTTGTGTAAAATTAAAAGAACTTCTGAAACACTTGTGAAGGCAATCGGTCAAGAAGGTAAAACACAAAAAAAAATACTTTAAACCAAATTCAAGAATAATGGTTATGTAAGGCATATTTTGTTGGGCGTTTTTCATTATCTTATCCCCAATTTACTCCTGAAATCTGAAACTAGCCCAAAGATGGCAGCTATCTTTCGGGTTAAGGCAGAGGGTTAACATCAACATTTTAGAAATTGATTGTACTGGCGTGTTAAAATGTGTCAATGAAATATGTGAAGCGGGGAGTAGGATGATCATCCTCGTGACATATTCTGATTCACTCTTCTTCACTGAATGTTGATAAAGACGATAATTGATACAGTAGCTGTTCCGTGATTCCCTCAGTCCAGGGATCAGCTTCAGTTATGGCATCAAAATTAATTAAAATCATATCACATGGTATTGTGGCCTACCTTTACTGGATAATAGAGAATGATACATAAGTCCCAGTCTCTGTAACAAACTTACTGTTCATTTGGAACGACTCTCCCAACATGATCTCTTGTCGATGCTTCTCCACAATGTCCATTGTTTTACTAATCTACTTTAGTGAACACATACCTTTACCATTCAGAGATAGACGTGACAAATATCAGGTATGTACACAAGGAATCAATATAAACAACAATTTAGACAGATAACCCACAACGAGAATCATTGAAGGCTTTTCAAATGCTTTGACCTGCATCCTGACCTCAATCTATTTACAAATTGACTTGAAAGTGGGCAGAGCGTCAGTCTCTTCAATGATTAAAAGGAGCGTTTTTATTAGCTTAGAACATGTGAGGATCTGATTCGAACAAAAGTATGCAGATCTTGGTTTTTGTTGAATTTCTTTGATATTGCGAAAATTACATAACTAAGCCTGGTAGAATGGTGACAGTATGCTTGCTTTTATACATATAATGGCACTAAAGATTTCATCATAAATTTTATTGCTTTGACACTTGACTTTGTCTTATGTTAAAATCAAACTCCTGACTAAATCTCCAGTATAAAAACAAGCAGACTATCCTGTAATGATATGGATCTCTTTATAGCAATCCATTCTTAGAAATGTTTAAACCCAAATATAGTTTCTAAAAGTGACAGTGTCTGGTTTTATAGTTGTTCACTCAGACTATTAAAATCTATGGCAACAGTTTTTAGCAGGTTTTAATTTTTTTATTTCACACTCAGGAAGTGTTTTTGAAAAATAGATCTCTTATATGTAGCTCTTTGTTTTAATTTTCAGGAAAACTGAAAGAATTTGGTTGTAACTTTGTGATTGGTTTTAATTTCTGTTCTTGATAAGAGTATTGGATTCTTGTATAAGGTGTCATTTAGAGCAGTAATTCTTGGCCTGTGTTGAATTTTCCTACAAGTTGTGTACTAAATTTGCTATACAGTGTTGTTGGCCATGTAGACCAGGCTTTATCAGTTTGAACAATGTCTTTGGCTTTCTTATTAGACAAAGTTATCTGTACGGGGGGTTTAGTGATTGCTAAGCTGATAGTGAGGTTATTTATGATAAAATTCAATGTGCAGATATAAATTAAATACATCATAAATATGTTCATTTGTGTCTACATTGTAGGAAACGCCCACAAACATTGTGATTTGTAAATATACAATTTTTACGAAAGATGTTCGTTTTTTGCTGTGAGTCACAATTTTTTTTGTTTTGTCCAGCAGTTACTATATCACTAATTGATATTGTGATTTTGTTGTCACAATAGCTATGCACTAGTATTTTTACAATGAAATTATCAGCAGTTAATTTTTGAAAGGGTAAGCCAATCACAGTCTGTTCTGTTGGAAGACTTCAGTCATGTATATAAATAAGAAGTTGGAGGATGCAAGTATCCTTCCATACACAACTGTCTCCAAACATTCTAGTCACGAAAGATTTCAGTACATGAATTTATCACACTTGTGTATGTTACTCAGACATTGACAGAATAATTCACACATATTACTGAGGCAGTTTTTCAGGTGCCTGGCTACTGATAAACACTTGAAGACATTTCTTTAAATTTTTCAAGTTGGAAAGCATTACAGATTTTGAAAAACATCTTAAAACTGGGGAGTAGGGAATAAAAAAATGTTTAATTGGTAATTATTTCTACAAGTAAAACAAAGTATCAGGAATTTCCCTCAGTTTTAGAATGTATTTCTGACTGACTAATCCTCGCAGGAATATGATACATAGTCAACAATGTTAACCTACAGTACAATTTTCGTTGTGTGTAGAAAATGACAATTAAAGTGACTTAATTTCAAGAATGACAAAACTACTTGAATGGAATTATTTAATCATTGTACATGTGATTCAGATATAATTTTGGAATTTTTTTTTGAAAAATCAGGATGTTAACTTATATTCAGATGCTAGAACTCAGGACCCTGTTGTATTAAAAATTTGAAATGTTTTAAGAATATGCTCAAGTCAGGAAATGATCTAGATGACCTTTGACCCGGGATTTATTGTTTGTTCTGATTGTATTGATTGGCCAGAATGACCTAGATGATTATAACCAGTGTTGCTATGAATACAGCCTAAATATCACCCAAAACCAAGAAAAAAGTTAGTACTGATATGTCTTAACTCTCAAAATGAGAGTATTTCAGATAGCAAGTCTTGTATCATTATTGAAATTCCTCTGCTGTCATGATCTTCATTGCAAGAAATTAATAGAAAATATGAAAATCTTCTGACAAATCGTGTACTGAAATCACCATGGTCATGAAAGTCTTCAAAAGACAAGATGTAAGCCATAACACTGACATGCACTGCTTTTTAAGTACGATTGTTTGATAATGATGTGTATAATGTTATATTGTTACCAGTTGGCTGGTAGCATAATGTTACATCATTACTGATTGGTTGATAGTATAATGTAACATTGTTACCGATTGGTTGATAGTATAATGTGACATTGTTACTGATTGGTTGAAAGTGTAATGTCACCAATTGGTTAAAATGTTATATTATTACTCATTGGTTGGTAGTATGATGTTACATCATTACTGATTTGTTTAAATGGTATACTGTTACTCATTGGTTGGTAGTATAATGTTACATCGTTACCCATTGGTTGGTAGTATAATATTATATTGTCACCGATTGGTTGATAGGATGCTGTATTCTATTGGTAGCTATTTTTAGTGCACCAATCCATTGCAAACATGTTATATGCAGACTGTTTTCAATGCAGCCTGATATTGCAAGTGTCTTGATTTCTACTGCGCAATGTCCCGGATGTGGACGTTCCACATCAGATGTATAACACTATATATATTAAATATATGTATATCATTGAA